ACATTATAAACTTCAAATTGTTTCCATAGTTTTAAAATATATAATAAAAAATTAAAAATAAGCATAAATAAAAAATAATAAACACAAATAACACTGCATACCTATTAGAATGGCTAAAATCTGAAACACCAACTGCACTAAACAGTGGCGAAGAGGGAACAAATAGGAACTCTCATTCACTGTGTGGAATTGGAACAGGGTACAGCCATTTTGGAATACACTTTGGTAGTTTCTTACAAAGTTAGACATAGTCAAACCAGACCATCCAGCAATCATGCTCCTAGATATTTATTCAAATGCATTGAAAACTTACGTTCACACACAAAAAAACACATAAACGTTTATAGCAGCTTTATTCATTATTTGTCAAAACTTGGAAGTAAGCAAGATGTCCTTCAGTAGCTAAATGGATTAAAAAAAGGACTGTTCTACGTCCATACAATGGATATTTTTATTTAGCAATAAAAACAAATGAGCTGTCAACCCATGCAAAGATGTGGAGGAACCTTAAGTGCATGTTGCTTGGTGTGAAGGAAACCAGTCTGAAAAGACTATATACTGAATGATTTCAACTATATGACATTCTGGAAAAGGCAAAACTATGGAGACAGAAAAAAAACTCCAGTGGTTGCCAGGGGTGGGAGGGGGTAGGGGTAAGGATGAATAGGTAGAGCAAGGGAATTTTGTGGGGCTGTGAAACTATTCTGTATAATACCATAATAGTGGATACATGATATCATGCATTTGGCAAAACCTATAGACCTGTACAACACAAAGACTGAAACTTAATGTCAGCTATGGACTTTAGTTAATAATATTATTTCAGTATTGGTTCATTAATAAATGTACCACACCCATGTAAGATGTTAATAATAGGGGAAACTGTGAAGGGGTTAGTATATGGGAACTCTCTACTCCTGTTAAATTTTTCTGTGCAAACCCAAAACTACTTTAACTCTATTAATAAAGAATAATCGTCATCATCATCATCATCAACATCATCCCAACCACATGAGGAGATAACACTGAAAAGCAAGAGAAATGATAACTAATAAAAACAGACTCCCCAGTAGAGGATCCAGGTAATGAAGTTATCAGATATAGAATTTAAAACTAACATATTGTTATAGGCTTTGAAAATAAAAGCTTGAGAATTGCTCCAGAAAACAAAACCATTAAAATAGCAAGTTTAGAACTAAAATACACAATAACTGAATTGTGAACTTAGTGGATAGATTTAACTGCAGACACCATCATCATTCTCAAGGTATGACCAGAAATCAATGAAACAAAATATACACTAGAGAAAATTTAAAATACCAAGGGCTAATTTAAAAAAAAAAAAAAATCAGCTTTTAAAAGATCAATAAAATTGATAAAGACTTAGACTCATTTTTTCCTAACTCCCCACAAAATAGGTAGGTAGGAAGTAAACACAGATGCACAATATCATGAATGAAAAAGGGGTATCACTATATTTCTTTCTTTTTTTTCCAAGATTTTAAGTAATCTCTACACCCAACGTGGGGCCCAAATTACAACTCCGAGATCAAGAGTTGCTTGCTCTACTGACTGAGCCAGTCAGGTGGCCCTATTATAGATATTAAAACAATAAGAATATTATATAAACAACTATGCTAATTATGCAGTTTAGATGAAATGAACAAATTCTTTGAGGAACATCTTAACAAAACTAATACAGGAAGAATTAGGTAATCCGAATAGTCCTGTATCTGTTAAGTAAATGGAATCCATAATTTAAAACCTTCCATAGAGAAAATGCCTGGCTCATTTGGCTTCACTGATAAATTCTACCAAATACTCAAGAAATAATACCATTCTTAACACAGACTTTCCCAGGAAATAGAAAAGAAAGGAAAACATCCCCACTTATTATATAAGGTTAGAACCCAACATTGTTGGGTTTATGACATCATAAACAGATGTAGAAATCTTAAATACTAGTAAACTGAATCTGGTGATATATAAAAATGATAATATACCATGAACATATAGGGTTTATTCTAGGAATATAAGGTAGCTTAACATTCAAAATTGATTCGTATAATTCAACACTATAACAGAACAAAGAAGAAAAACTATTGTGATCATCTTAATAGACATAAAAATCTGATAAAATTTAACATCCTTTCACAGTAAACTCATTAAAATAGGAATAGAAGGGATTTTGTAACTACAAAATCTCCTACATCTAACTACAAAAACTCCTACATCTAACATCATACTTACTGATTAAATATTGAATGTGTCCCTCCACCCACCCAAGTTCAGGAACAAGACAAGTATGTGAACTATCACCATTTTGTTTAACATTTCATTGGAGGTCCTAGCTAGTATAATAAGACAAGAAAAAGAAATAAAAGATTTATAAAGAGTGGAAAGGAGGAAATAAAATTGTCATTCACACATGACATGATTGTATATGAATAAAAATGCAAACAGCTATCAAGCTATTATGTACAATTTAAAATTGCTGGAAGAGGGTCAAGTAACAAATAGGGTTTTTTTTTATTATCCTATTTTATTATTTCTAGCAATTCTGTGAATAATAACTAAATTTAAGTACTCATATGAATCATTTTGTTGTGTTTGCCTTCTTAGGCTTTTACAGGATTCAACAGTCTTTTTTTTTGAGAGATAATTGACATATTAACATGTCAGTTTCAGGTGGACAACATAATGATTTGATATTTTTATATATTGTGAAATGATCACAGTAAATGAGTCTAGTTAATATCCATCACCATATGCGTGGAGCACTGGGTGTTGTGCACAAACAATGAATCATAGAACACTACATCAAAAACTAATGATGTAATGTATGGTGATTAACATAATAATAAAAAATTAAAAAAAAATCCATCATCATACATAGATAAAAAAAATTGTTTTCTTCTGATGAGAACTTTTACGGTTTACTCTTGTAGCAACTTCCAAATACGTGATACAGCATAGTTATCATGCTGTATTACATCCCTGGGACTTACTTTATAACATAAGATTTGTATCTTTTGACTCCCTTCACCCGTTTTGCCCATCCCTCACCGCCTGCCTCTGGCAACCACCAATTTGTTCTTTGTATCTGTGAGCTTGTTTCATTTGTTTAGATTCTCCAGATAAGTGAGGTTATACAGTATTTTTTCTTTCTCTGCCTGCCATAATGCCCTCAGGGTCCATCCATGTTGTCACAAATGACAAGATTTCCTTCTTTTTTATGACCGAATCATATTCCATTGTGTATGTAATTGCTGGATCATATGGTAGTTCTATTTAATTTTTTTAGGAACCTGTGTACTGTTTTCCATAGTGGCTGCGCTCACAGATTGCTGGTGAGCATGTAATTAATGGAACCACTTTAGAAAACTGGGGGTATTTATTAAAGCTGTGACTCACTCCTGAGTATATACTCAAGAGAAATGAGTGCATATATCAACCAAAAACATGTTAAAGAATGTTCATAGAAACTTTATTCATAATAACCTCAACATTGAAACAGTTCTGGTTTTCATTATGAGAATGGGTTAGATGTATATTTATAAAAATGGATGACAACATAACAATGGAAAAGAACTGCCATACAATAACATGGCTTAGTCATATGGACAACATATTTAACAACAACAAAAAACCCCAAAGACTGAAGAGTATATACGGTATGATTCTTTAAATTCGGGTAGATTGGTGGATAGACAGAGTTCTAAATTACCTGTAAACATATAAATATGTACTTATGGTGATTAAGGACAGAAGAATGGTTCCTTTGCCAGGGTAGAGGGGAGGAGGCGCGAGGCAACCTTTTGGGGTGCTGGAGGATGGGAAGTGATGGGAAGCATGAGAAAGAATGCCCAAAGCAGTGTTATTTCCCAAATGGAAATAACCCAAGATGACCCTCAGTGGTGGACCAGGTAGATACATTAAACTATGTGATATTCGTAAGTACAGGACAACATGTGGCAATGTACTATTCCTGTAAGCAAGAACATGAATATATCTCACAATCTTGAGTGAAAAAAGCCATTTGTAAAAGATTTTCAAATAGACTATGATTCTGGTCATAGGAAAATCAGCAAAACTGTGCTCTAGCTTTGGAAGTAAATTGGTTGCCTTTTCAGAGGACAGAAGGGGGTAGAGATTGAAAAGAGGAGGGGTCGGGGCACTTCTGGTATGGCAGTGCTCTTGACCCATGAGGTAAGAGGGTCAGCATTTGCTTTGTGCTTTTACATTTTGCTTTACGTTTACATTCTGTGCATTTTTCTATAAGCCTGATATACTTTAGTAAAAGAGTTACAAAACAAATACCTGAAAGGTCTGTAGCTACTAAATGAGTTGCAACATTTATACATATTTTTTCTATAAAAAAACAAAACCTCATATAAAAATGAAAAACTACCTTTGTTTATATACCACTTTTGCATTATACCGATTTTTCCATATTAGAAAATTTTCCCTTTGTAAAGTTTAAATTTTTTCTTTTTAATATTTAGAAAGGCATACTTTCAAACTGAGATGCATCCATAATCTGTTTTAGCTTTCTGATCCTTTATTGCTTTGGTAACAATTTATCAATTGTAAGCATGCTTTTAATTTTAAATTTTTAGTTCTTTTGTAAAACTTGTATCTTTTGGGAAAATAAAGAGCTTGTGATTCCTTATCAGGTGACAGGTAAACTCATTAGTAAAATTTGACTCCCTTTTTTAGATATTTTATTGACAGCAGTTAGTTACTGCTACCCATTTTCTGGTTTGGCATAACAGTTCTATTTGTCACAATGAGGATATGAGGTACATTTGTGGCTTATTATCTTTGCCATTTTCAGTAAGAATCATATCTACTAATCTTTCTTCCTAGTATTCACTGAAAATACTTAGAGAATCTCTAAGTAAAATTTCTCTTGTTGAGTAAAATATTCTCTCTATATTTTGTTCAAAGAGGAGATTTTGTATTAATGTATTTGCTCACATTGTTTCTTTTTTTTCTAGAGAAAATCTCTTCATGAAAACAAATTGAAGAGACTGCAGGAGAAAGTAGAAGTCTTAGAGGCAAAGAGAGAAGAATTAGAAACAGAAAATCAGGTGTTAAATAGGTAATTGTTTGTATAAATACATATCCCATATAGTGACATTATAGAACTTTGATACTGATCTTTTACAATATACTTTCTTTCATTGTTTTCTCTATAATGCACTTGTTTTCTTTTATGTTTAAAAGAATTCTAAAACTGTTGTACTCCTAATTCATTATCCTCATTATTTTTTTTCTGGCTGACTGTTCCTTCAAACCAGAAGGTCTTTAACATATGCCAGGCATTTGTGTTATGGTTGGGACTGACAGGAAAGGTCACTGGCTTTGGTAGCCAGGAGTGGTATGAGTTCTTGCTACTAAGACAAGAGAGTTGTAGCATTGCATAGTTCCAAAAATGTGTCTGGAATTTTGAATCAAGATTTTTGATTCCTTGTGGAAAAATATTGGCCCAAAGCTTCTGGTTTTTCATTTACATACAAACATAGCTAATAATCTGCATGATGAGCATGTTTGAGCAGAGATGATTTGCCGTATTAACTTAGTGGTAGTGGCATTGTATGACCTCTTTGATTCTAATTAATACAGACTTTTCAAATTCAGCTAATTTCAGTGGTAGCCTTCAGCACGAGAGTGTCAGACTTTTCTGTAATGGAAATTGCCTATAATATCAAGCAGTGATGTTTTATTTAGAATGTGCACCTGTCTTCCTTGGATGTGATTGTTACCAAAATGTGAAAGTTGTTTTTCTGGAAACCTGAAGTTTATAGACTATGGAATTCATGCCCTTTTTTTTTTCTTTTTTCTTTTCCTTTCCTTTCCAAATGGGAGAGTCGAGGGGAGAGCAGAGGGAGAGAGAGAATCTTAAGCAGATGGGGCTCAGTCTCACAACCCTGAGATAATGACGTGAGTCAAAATCAAGAGTCAGGTGCTTAACTGACTGAGCTATCCAGGGGTCCCAAATTCATGCCAGCTTTATAATACTCTGTTCCAAAGTAAGAAGCCACCAAATTTCTTTTAAATCAAAATTCAATTTCCTACCTCTTCTATAACCATTAATTTTGAAATATTATCAATATTATCAAGATTGGGCAGCCATGGCACTGATCATCTAGAACTTTGAGTGGTTTTGAAAACTGTATTTAATTAGTGGTGTGGTTGATGGTCAGGAAATTCATGTCCAAAAAGGTGATGGTATGTAAAGGCCTGAAAAGTTAGCTTTTTTATCCCAAATCCTTTTCCCCTAAAGTTGGTGGGTAGCTTCACCTTTGTCATTAGTTACATTTCTTTTTTAAGAATTATTTGAGAGAGCAAGACAGAGAGTGAGTGTGTGTGCATGTGGGTGGGTTGGGAGTGGAGAGGGAGAGAGAAACTTTAGCAGGCTTCTGCTCAGCTCAGAGTCCCATGTGGGCTTGATCTCCTGACCCTGAGATTGTGACCTGAGCCGAAACCAAGAGTTGGCTTAAGTGCCACCCAGCCCACCCCCATTAGCTACATTTTTAATAATGAGCTTGAACAACATGTAATTCCCTATATTGGACTATATTTTACCTATAAAAATGATAATTTCATATGACTCAACCTATTATTTTCTCTATTTTCTGCTTGATTCCTTCTATAAAATAACGCACCCTTTTGGTTTAAGGAGTCTTCAGTTTCAGGATTTATGGGTTGGTGGAGTGGAGTGGAAATAAAAGTTTTGAAAGATTTTTAATCTTTGATTAATTGGCAAATAAAACTTTAAAATGAGTTGATAGTTGGGCTGCCTGGGTGGCTCAGTTGGTTAAGCATCCACCTCTTGGTTTCGGCTCAGGTCATGATCTCAGGGTCATGAGATCAAGCCCCCCCTGAGTTGTGTTTCCCGCTTATTGGGGAGTCTGCTGGAGATTCTCTCTCCCTCTCCTCTTCCCCCTCCCTGCATGCGTGCACGCGCATGCATGCACTCTCTCACCCTCTCAAATAAATCTTTTTTTAAAAAGATTTGATTTAATTTATTTGGGAAGAGGGAGCACGAGCAGGGGGAGGGGCAGAGGGAGAAGCAGACACTGAGCAGGGAGCCCCTGGGATGATGACCTGAGCCAAAGGCAGACGTTTAACAGACTGAGCCACCCAGGCACCCTAACATAAATAAATCTTTAAAAAAAAATAAAAATGAGTTGAAAGCTTGCAGTGCTAACAGTAATAACATATGATTAAGATGTCATATTTCTGTTTATCTTTTTAGATAGAGTTTTATGTATATATCATATACAGATAAATCTTACAGTTTTGAAGTCCGTTTTCTTCCAGTTTGGAAATCTGTGAATCATACTGTTCTACAAGAGTATAACTATTAAAGAACAGAAACACTTTTTTTCTTTTTTAAGACAAAATGTTCCATTTGAAGAATATACAAGGCTTCAAAAAAGACTAAAGGACATACAGAGAAGACATAATGAATTTCGAAGTTTAATTTTGGTTCCTAACATACCTCCAACAGCATCTGTCAATCCTGTTAGCTTTCAGTCATCAGCCATGGTTCCAGGCATGGACCTATCCTTTCCTCCTCATATGCAGGTATGAGCATTTATGGGTTTTTTTTTTTTTTTAAAGATTTTATTTATTTGTTAGAGAGAGCATGGGCGAGAGAGAGTGTGAGCAAGGGTACAAGCAGGGGGAGCTGCAGGCAGAGGGAGAAGCAGGCTCTCTGCTGAGCAAGGAGCCTGATGCGGGACTCGATCCCAGGGCACTGGGATCATGACCTGAGCCGAAGGCAGACGCTAAACCGACTGAGCCACCCAGGTGTCCCTGAGCATTTATGTTTAAAAAAAAAGGGCACTAACATTTCTGTAAGTTTTTACCTGTTTAAATTCAGAGTTAAAAACTCAAATCTTTATCATAGAAATTTGCTGGTAGAAGCAAAGTAGATTTGAATCTATTCTGTCCCTTAGTAATGGTGCTAGGAGTGAAATCTCCTGGGCAATTGAAAAGAAGAAACTTGATTGATGAGTCTTTGAATAACCTAGAGTTTACAGCTCACTCAATTACTAACCACTACTGAGCATTTACTAATGCTCTGCATTATGCATTTTCCATACAATATTTAATCCTAATGGAAATACTTTGAGGGAAGGTGTTATTATTCCAATTTACAGATGAGGAAGCTGAGTCAGAGGTGGAGTGACTTGCCTAAGGTCATAGTTAATAAGTGACAGAATTGAGTGTCAAACCTAAATCTGATTCCAAATCTTGGGCTCGTTCTACTGTATTAGTTCCCTGAGATGTTGAAGGAATCAAATGGATGGGATGATTTTCCGAAAGATGAACTGTTAATAAGTAATTACATTTTATAATGTTATAAGCACCAAAGATTTTAGTCACTGAATTGAATCTCAGACCAAGTGCTTTGTTTATATTAAACTGCTATTAAACTCCAGCCTTGTTAGAACGTTGGCCTGTAAGCATTAGTATTTTCTAATTCACTCCCTGGTGAGTTTTATACCTAGATAGAACAGACTTTGGGATTTGCTGAAGGCTAGTGCCTGAGGCAAGAGAGAAGCGAGGACTAGTTAGTAGCTGGCCTGCACTGCTGTCTTCTCACTGCTAAAATGGTCATCCTTTCCGTGCCGGATGTTGCAGGCCCGAGTGAAAGAGCCGCTCAGGCTGTTGCCTAACAGTTATTTTTCCAGCCGTTTTTCTGAGTTTATTTTATTCTTTTTCTGTGCTTTTAAGGAGGAACAGCATCAAAGGGAACTCTCTCTACTTCGCAAAAGACTAGAAGAACTAGAAACAACACAAAGGAAACAACTAGAGGAACTTGGATCTCCTGGGGAATGATGTTCTTAGAGAAAAAGCAGATCAAAAGGGATGAAATCAGTGTGACTCAATAAAGCTTGAAGTTTTAACGTATGTGGCATTTAGATATTGTATTACCATTTGCCAGAACATTTGTGTCTCAAGTAAAGGTACTGGCTACATACTATATATTGCATCAGTGTCAGGATTTTAGGATTATGCTAATGACAAGTGAAGCATTAAAACAGCTCCAGAGATATTTAGAATATTTATTGACAACCCTTTGAGAATGTTAAAAAAAAAAGATGAATGAATTAGGGAATCAAGTTTTTAAATTATTTTATTTTCACTTTGAAATTTTTTGGCTTTTTTTTTTGGTGTTTTGCCTGAAATATGCCCATGTTGGATTTGTTCTGCCTCTTTGAGATAGTTGGCAGTAATAGGGTCAGTAAACAAACATTTTCCGGTTTATTATATAGAACTAGAGTTCTCTAGTTCTTGAAAAAAGATGATTTAAAAGTCAGCATTAAAAAACAAAACTTGAAGATATATAAATATTATAAAATGCTACCGTTGTAAAGCTGTGGCACATAATTAAAGAGCTTAATAAATATTTTTCTATATTGTGTTTAATTTTGTCTTGACCATACATTGTGTATTTAGCAATGTCGCAGTCTCATTGTTATTTTCTATTCTAACCCAAAGCCACAAAGTACAAATAATTAAACCCGTGACCGTATAAAACAAGGGCCATTCGTTGTAAAACTTGAACCCCATGGGGTCCCTTAGAAATATTGTTGGTATTTAATGTTGCCTCCCACTGTTTTGGATCTAACCAAATTATTATAAATGTTTTATTTCTGTGTATCCCTAACCTCTTTTAAAGGAATTCTACTGGAATAATTTCACGTCAACAAGGCACAGTTCAAGTCTGCCAAACTAAGTGGAATGTTCATTATCCAGAAGTCTTCAGGATCAAAAGTCCAGGTAGATAGTGGAGGCCAGGGATGTAAATGAGCATTCCTTAGCGTCATTTAGAAGAAACTAGATGTACTTACTACATTACAGAGCTGCTTATTCACATTTGCGCTGGCACCTAGATAATTTCCGTGGAGCTACTTAGAATAAAAAATCTATTATAACTAGAACATTTGAAGGAAAAAAAAAAACAGTCCACATTTACATCAAAATGTTTATTTTTGGATATAGACATTTAAAACATTCATCTCCAAGTACAGCTTCAATCAGGTATACAATAAGAAATAGACTTTAAATCCCTAATACGGAAAAGGTAAGAGAATTAATTTTTAAATGCTGCTGTAGACACTAGTGTTAGAAAAAAAAGTTTATAAATGAATTGTTTGCACCAAAAAAATATGCAAAGAAACTTGAAAATAGAAATTGTTTGCCATTTGTTTCTCTGGTTGCAGTTTAATATAGACCCAGTGACTGATTGTCTTCAGCACACATCTAATTTGGCCATTACTGCGTTTGGCTAATGTGATCCAAAATGTGATCTAGATAGTGCTTTTCACTGGAGGATTGACAAACACGCTACATACATTAGTGAATCTTCACACCACCTCAATGAGGTAGGTTAGAAATATTATACAGAAATTGAGGCACAAAGAGGTAAGTGACTTGCCCAAAGTTCCCAGCAGCATCGTCCCTGGAAGAGGAGGTAGGGCTCCACATGGGACTCATGTGCCAGAGAGCTGGACAGGGACACCCTCATGTAGCATTTACTGAATACTTAGATAAAGCTGTAGCTGATCCTTTTCTTAGCATTTCTGTACCCTAAAGAAGGGGAAGTCTTTTGGGCAACTCTCCTACCCTTGGCTCTCAACTGTCCTCCTGTTACTCTACTCTCTTATGAATGCCTTCACATCAAGACTGTAGCAGCCTTAGATGGGACCAGACCTCTCACCTTTATACTTGTAAGTAACCTATTTATTTGGTAGTATTTTTGAGGTGTGTCCATTGGACAATGGTCAAAAGTGACGGGATTGGGAAGGTGCCTATCAGGGTAATAACTGCTTATTTGATCATTTTGTTGAGGTATCACCTCTTACTCTTTGCCAGAAACTGAGGAGCAAAAAGAATTTCATTTTCAAAGACAAATTCAGATTTAAATCCTGATATCCCATACAATGTTGGTAAAAGATTCTAAGGAATATATGATCAATGTTTTATTTGCTACTTGAAAAAATGTTTTTCCTTAATCTGGGATTTGGAACACCAAGGGTAAAAGGTGCCACAAGGAAAGTTGAGAGTTGCCAATTACTTTTACTTTTGATTTAATAGAAGGAAAACACAGTGGTATTAAAATTGGTCATGAGCAGCAAAAATTCAGGAATAAAAAATCAGCAATAAAAAGACTACAGTTACAATATAACTGGATAGGGAATTCTTTAAAAAGAAAGGCATGAATAAAATGGGTATTTTGAATTCTTTCTCTTGTGAGGAATACTTTCAAAAAGTACATAGTAAGACTAAGATACCAAGTTGTATACTAATATTTTTCAGGCCTTGGGCCTCAAATATATATATATTCATATATAATACTCCAGTGTGAACAGCAATTTCATGAAATGTAAAATGTATTCTTTTTTTTTTAATCACACACAAGTATTTATAACCACAGGGTTCACCAGAAATCTAAAGCAAGGAGACACCAAGTATAGAAATGTAGGATTAGGGGAGGGAGTTACTCTTCTATAGATAATTCTGATCAAAGTTTTTAGACAGAAATAAACTAATGATGTTTTGTTTTACAATAGCCAACATGTCCACTATCAAATACATTTAGTATGGAAAAATGAAAAAAAGGAACACACATCAGGACAAAGTGGGTAAAATGCTGTTGCATTTAAATAAAGCCTCCTCACTCTCCTTGCTTTAGAGCTCCTTCGTGAGATGGAGGTGAGTTGATGGAGTGCAGTTGGCGACCACTGAAAAACACGAGCCCTTTCAACAATGTTGCAACACTGTCAGTTTTTGGTTTAAAAACACGCACACACACTCACGAATGCTAAGTGTACACACTACCAAATTCCGTGGTCAGCTTTTCCAAGAACTACTGGGGAAAGTTTCAATGCTGCAAATCCTCGAGGTTGCCCTAACACTCCCACCTTGTTTCCAAATGATTCATTTCACATTTTCTTGTGATCACTGGCAGTGTCCCTTTTCTGCAGAGGTGCAGTGTAGTCACAAGTGCTACATAACTGTAGTTTTCAGACACAAAACCACTGCTGTCATTGTGCTTAAGTGGATACTGTAGTTAACTGACACTTGCTTACTGGCCCTGTATTCTCTGTAAACAAGGAGGCTGTTTGCAACAACCATTTCGACTCTATTTACAGAAACGTTCCTACAGTATATGCACAGGCACAGTGGTTGGTATGCTTTCTAAAAGCTGTGCATGTGCCTTGGTCTCTAAAAGACAGTGCTCAAAGTGGAACCTATGTGCAAACTTTAAAAATTAACGACACAGAGTAGCTCAAGCAGCCATTTTGCTCCCAAGTCGTCTTGAAGAATTTTGCCAGATTAAGCCAGTCCCCAGAGTGCTTACATCCACTTGCATTTCTTCTTTTCATCAAATAAGACTTTTACATGCAAGAGTTGTTTCTGAGCTTCTTCCAGCCCTCGTTCTCTTTCTAGTTTATTTAGAATCTGTTGACAATTAGAACAGTTATTTTAGATATTGTGGTTTTAGCATTACAATTCTGGGTTTTTTTTTGCATTCCTGATGCTGTGAGTGGTAAAATCTGTATGAAACAGATGCCAACGTTTTTTTCAATCATTTACATACTCACTTTGCAAGTTGTTTTGCTAAGTCATTATCACAGGATCAACAACACTTTGGCTTAAAATAGAAGCTAGCAAGAAATACCAACTATTTGCTTACAAATATGGGGCCAGACTTCCAAGGCCCTGTTTTATGCATTATGTCACAGCCATTCCAAGCACAGCAAGCATTCTGGGCAGCCAACATGCAGGCAAGTATTTCTTCTTAAATGCAGCAGGCAGGGGCATCCTGGTCAGAGTTGAATATTGCCCTCCCCTCCCCTCCTGGGCAGTGTAGTGCCTCCTCTCCCCTCCCCTGCCCTCCCCAGTGCTTCCCTTCTAACCCCTGGCCCCTGGAAAAAGGGATGCTTATCATGTTTAAGGAACTCATTGCCTCTACCCTACCTTAGCGCTTCACTTGATCTTCAAGTAGCAAATGGAATTGGTGAGCTATTCTCACCATTGACATGGATAGCCTGTCCCAGCATGACTGAGTGGGGGGGAATCAGGGAAGGGGAATTAACATATATTTGGAAACAGCACATCTGATGACTGAGTCTGTGTGAATTCCCAAAGAAAAAAATCCAAATTAAGGAGAATTAATCATAAAGGAGAATGGTTTATTGAAATAGTTGCTTAAGTTAGAAATAATGTTATACTTTCATATACCTATCAAATACAGAATCTAGGCAATTTAACAAGCTTAGCTTTCATTTTAGCAGATTACAATCAAGCATAAGCTGGTCCTATTTAATAGGACCACTACTTACTCATCAAAGTTATCCTGAGTCAGTGTGGCTACAGACCCCATTAACTCAAATGTAAATTCAGGCTGGTCCAAAGGTGGGCAGCATGATAAAACTAGAAGAGGGGCAGCCACAGGCAGGGTCTGGCTTGGTGCCAGGATCCCCCATCTCAGACAGGCTTCCTGGCTTCCCTTTCTGGCCATTAGGGATGCCAGAGCTGTCCTGAGACCTATAGAATGCTTGACAACCAAATCCTGGTGACTGACTCATATCATTTTTTTAAAATGTTACTTAAAATCTTACCTCATCAAAATATTTTACGATGTATTTGTAGATTTCTGTCAAGGCCACTTCTTCATTAAATTCATTTTCGTGTTTCTTAAAGAAAGAGAGTCTTGTTGAGAGATTCTGAAATGACTTTTTAAAAAAGAAGTAACCAAATATTATCTTATTTCCATTTTTTTTTTTTTAAGAGAGGGAGAGAGAATCTTAAGCAGGCTCCACATCCAGCACAGAGCCTGATCCCAGGACCCTGAGATCATGACCCGAGCCAAAATCAAGAGTCAAAAGCTGAACCAACTGAGCCACCCAGGCACCCCTCTTATTTCTACTTTCTAACAATACCTTAGATTCCTGAGTTAAGAATTCTTCCATTTCCGAAGATGACAATGGAGGCAAATCCCTGATTGCTTTGTAATACGATTTTACTTCCTCTTTGTACGTTGGGATATCCTTGGCATAGAGAAGTTTATTAGTTGGTGCTTCCTGAAAAATAGAACAGCCATGGGGAATTTATAACAGTACCAGTGTAGCTGAACCTCCACCATTATTACCTCCTAGTAACAAAGCTTTTTCATGCAGTGGGCCTTCATAAATGTTGTTGACTGAATGACTGACTGCTATCCAGATAGTTCTGGTGAGTCACTGTTCTTTTCAGGCAGATTAAATGCTAATATATTCTGCCTTCCTCTCATAAAAGAACTAAAATTATTATTTTTGCATGATTTTGAGTTACTGTAACAATGGAACTTATTTCAATCATAGTTCATTACTAATGGTTGTAAAAAGCCTGAATTAAAACATTTGCTCTCATCCTCACCCACCAGTGAATTTTGGCATTTATGAAAGACTTGATTGTAGGTCTGATTGAGCCCTTTATATAACCATGAAAGTGGTAAGTAATTGGCGGTGGTGGATTTTTCTGCTTGTCCCTTTTATTAGATTATAAAGATCTTCTACTGTTCTCAAGGAAGTACATGGTCATTAGTATTAGGGGCTCTAATGTCTGATTTCACAAAAGTTCCCTGTCAGCTTGACTGTTTTTATGTAATTATAATAGTGATAATTCTAAAAATTAAGATTTTATTTTTAAAAGCCATTTTTCACAAAATTTTTGGAATTCCTACTCAGGGAAGATGGGTGAGTTAATGATAGGGCTAATGTCCCAGTACGTTTTTCAGTGTATTGAGGGCACGAATAGCCATATTAGTGGCTGCATCATTCTGAAGGATGCCTACACTGAGATATTACTGAGATTCTTTGTCAAGTTTAAGTAGAATCCACAAATCATGTGATCATGCATTCAGTAAAATTTATTTAGCTTGGAACTGTGGCAAAGGTAAAGACCAGTACCTGCCTTTGAGAAGCTTATAATCTAGTTCAGAAGACAAACTTACATAGTGGTTACTATGATACCAATAATTAGTAGCAGGGTGTAAAGAAAAGCACCATGGAATGGGACAAATTAGGGATCCTAACAACTTTGAGGGATCTTAACCAAGACTTGTAACCTCTCAGAACATCAATTTCCTCATCTATAAAACAAAGGTAATAATAACTACCTTATGTGGTTCTTGTGATGATTAAGTGAAATATACCAAGAACACAGGAATGAGTTAACAGTCATTTTTTTTACTGTGAATAAAGAAGCATTTTAATGTTTCATTGCATGGGTCAAATGAAGAACTGGTGTGGGCAGTGTATAGGGAAAAAGTTCACGGAGTAGGTATATTTAGACTGATCATAGCCTCCTACAGTTTCTGGTACACATTAGGAAGTTGTGTTTGTGGAGTGAATGAATGAATGAATAAGAGTTTTACAAGACAGAGGGGTTATGAGACAGGAAAGGGATATGAAAACAAGTTCATGGTAAATTTGGGAAAAGTAAAAGCTGTAGCATAGAAAGTATATGGAGTTTGCCAGAAAAGAGGCTTGACACCCAATCAGGAAGGGCCACGTGGCACTGTGAAGATTTTACCTGGTAGGTAATGGGAAGAATTTACAATATTTAAGCAGGAGACTGAAAAGATCAGATTTTTGTTTTAGAATGACAACGTGAGACACAGTGAAAAGGAAAAGGTAGAGGAGAGGGGATGAAGGGATAGGACAGAATGAGAAAAAAAAAAACAGACATTTTGGAGATGGCAATGAGTAGTAACCAATTAGGGCAAGGGAGGAAGAAGGAGGAGTCAAGATAACCCAAAGGATTTTACCTTGAGAGACAAGGTGATGCCAGGAAGACAAAAGTAAAGGCAGGTTTGTTTTGCAGAAGTAGTGGTGATATTACAGATTTAGACTAGGGTGCTGAGGCACCTATGAAACGTCACCCACATTTCATTCCAGGCACTCTCTCAGTCCTCACACCAAAGGGACACCACTCAGTATTTAAAAGATTTTCTGAAATCCATTAGGCACAGATATTGCTCAGTTTAATACATTTTGGAGTGCTTGAATAAGACCAAAACATGCCTTTCAAAGTTTGCTCTGTATTTTTATCTGTCTTTGATTTCCTGGGGTTTTGCTCAGCAAAGAAAGCCAAAAGAAAAACAATATCGATGTTTTGATTATGAATTGATAAACTGGTGGTGACAGAAATCTCAGGCAAGATTCTCTTCCCCAGGAGCAATCTGTTATATTCAGATAGACTCTTAGGTGTACAGTTGACCCTTGAACAACATGGTTTTGAACTATGTGGGTCTGTTTTACTCTTCGTGGAGTTTTTTCCGACATAGTTCAGTACTGTAAATACATTTTCTCTTATGATTTCCTTGATGTTTTCTCTAGCTTTAAGAATACAGTATTTAATACATATAACATATATAAAGTATGTGTTAATGGACTATTTATATTAACAGCAAAGCTTCCAGTCAGCTGTAGGCTATTAATAGTTCAGTGTTGGTAAAGCCAAAAGTTACAGGGTAATTTTCAACTACATGAAGGATTGGTGCCCATCATCCCCCATTATTGAAGGGTCAACTATATTCAGATGGGGTTAATTTAGCTAAGCAAATTTCAATAGTTTCATAGTTTAGTACTGCCTGCAGAATGTTTTTCTAGGAAACAAAATTTATACTTCTTGTGGTAAAGGTATTCACAGGCAGAGTTCTGCAGTAGGATGGGGAGAATAATTTTTTTTAACTAGATGAAAAATAAATGAGACAGCTTTTAAAGAAAAGCAAATTTTCAGTTACTACCACTGACTCTTTTTAGCTGCCATGGTTTTTTGTTTGGATGTTTACAAGAAAGAATGCTTCAGACTCACAGGAGTACATATATAAGTACATCTAAGAAATACTAAAGCTAGGCCTTACCTTCCCGAGTTGCTGTTCTGTGAGAGAAAATGCGTCCATGAATGCCTGGGCAATCACAGATAAACAGCCGTCTATGTGTGGTGTCTTCTTAATGTCAAAGACAAACTGAGGGTTCTTCAGGATGTTTACCCAGAAGCGAAGAGGAAGGCTGTTGAAGAGAAATCTCTTTTCAGATACAGCCCTTTGTAGGAGGCGGATGCTCTGTTTATCACAGTTTGTAAATGGGTGATTTTGCCCTTGTTATTGAAGTATGCAAGTCTGCTTTGCCAAATATACCAAGTGATGGATGGCAGCATCACTCAGAACAAGAAAGGGTTAAACTGACAAGCGCTGCTGGATGGGAGGACTAGAAGAGGAGAAACACGAAAGTGACCACTGACGAGAATTTTCTCCAGATAGTTCTCGGTTGTGTTAGATGATGGCTACCCATGAAAACATTTCATCACATCTCCAGAACTTCACCTCTTCTCACCCCCTCTAAGTGCTAACACCCTGGTGTAAGGCACCATTGCCTCTCACCTGGGTTATTAGCTCCCTAGGTCCCCACAGTTAACTCTCCCACAACTACCAGCAATCTTCTTAACCTGGAGTCAGATCGTGTCCCTCCTCTACTCAAAACGCTCTGCGTTCTCCCTCCGCTGGGGATAAAGCCCCTGCATGGTCTGGGCCCAGGCCCCCATCTGCTGCTGTTCCCCTTCTTCCTTCTAACTCCACCATTGGCCTCTTCACTGTTCTTCATGCATACCAGGCAAGCGTGTGCCTCAGAGAACTTTGGATTTTGTTGTCCATCTTCCAGACACTGTCTTCAACCAGATAGTCTCATGGTTTATGCCCTCACCTCTTGCAAGACCCGACCTGAATATCCTCCCCGTGAGGCCTCCTCTGAGTACTCCACCCTGTTCCTCTCTATCTTCCTTTCCCACCTTGTCTGCTGTACTAACCTAATATACTATCCATCGCCTATTTATGACCTCTTCCACTCATTGGAATGCAAGCTCTGTGTGAACATGGAGTTTTGTCTCTTCAGTTCATTGCTATCTTTCCAGCACCTAACAGTGCTTGGCACAGAGTAGGTACTCAAATATTTGAACACGAACCTGGGAATCATTCAGAGTCCTTCCACTATTATCTCCTTCTCAGCTCTGGCCTAGCAAACTACCTGCATCATAAAGCCGTTGGGCCTCTCCCTAGCTCTACTCTCCTGACTACTGCCCCTGCTCAGATGCCACAGTCTTCCCAGTGAAATAGGTGCTTGCAGCATCCATGCTTGGTGTGGGAGTAGCAGGACCAGGGAATCAGAGCCTAGCACACAGGATGGCAGTGAGCCAGTGTAGGTAGTTGGGACAGACCTGGATTAAATGGGAGAAGATGACACCTAGAGCTCTGGAACTTCAGCTTTTCATATTTATTTAAATTGGTCTGCCCACCCTCAGTGCTCAGGAGGGCTTGAGATTGCATTGGAAACTTCTATTACACCTTAACACCGAGTCTTATTCACAGCTCATGCACAAAGTATTTCAAATAGAGGTAATGAGCCATGTTTCTTCACTGAGAAGTTGAGAAGAGACCCAGATGCCTTGCCTCAGCTTAAGGTAAAATGTTAGAAAACAAAACACAGTCCTTTGGCAAATTCTCATGGTATTTAAACACTGCACTTGATCACATAAAAACAGAAATGTCCTTGCAGAATCAGAGTGTAGACAGCTTGGTAACTGCAAAATGATTAAGTATTCTCTAATGGAAAACTGTATAATAAAACTACAGAATACTAATTTCTTATCTTTTGCTAAGATACAAGCTACATTTAACATTCCATATAAGGTCTTTTTCACGCATTAAAGATAATAAAGTTTATTTTATCCTAAAGAATAGGATCTCAGCGTAGGAAGGGTTTGTTTCTTATTTAAAAATAGTAACAGAGGAAGAATCTGTTCTGACCTGATAGCTTACCACGCCAAAAGATTCTGATCTAGGGATAATGACAGGCCCTCCTTTCAGTTAAGATTCTGTCCAGATTCTTGAAAATAGTAATCACCTACTGTTTATTCCCACCTGTTTGTTTTCCAAATATGTACGACATCAGGATCTGTGATTTTTTTGCTTTCAGCTTGGGCATCCAAAAAGTCAAAAAAGTATTTTATAGCAAATGGGGCTCTGCTGTTGGGTAAACTCCAAATGCTTCTAAAAAGTTTCTCAAGCACAGAATGAATTGCCACCTGAAAGACAGAGAACATCAGACTTGGGAGATTTAAAAAAAAAAAAAAAAAGGCAGTTTTGAATACAATGGAAAATGAAATCCCAGTTGAGAGAAAATGATGTATAGAAGAGAAAATATGGCAAATGATCAAATGAGGCCAACACTCACAGTATGGGACAAGGGCCCTGAAAATCCATGCCCAGGTTTACATTTGGTTCATCAGCTTCTTGCTGATAACAAGATTGTTTAGTCAACAGAGAGGATATCTTAGAAAAATCTCTAGCAGTTGAAATGTCAGTTGTAGGGCTGTATACAGAAACCAAGATGCCACGGATGTTTAGCTTTTATTAGTTATGTTCAGCCTGGAAAAACTCAACGTTGCTCAGTTCCCTGAATTTTTTTGTTGCATGTATTTCCATCATAGGTTCTTATTATGTACTTTCCAAAACATTTGAGTGTTTTACAAAAGCCAAATAGGCAGAGCTCTGTGGGACAGAGGAGAAAATCAAGAGGCTCTGGCTGTCCTCTGTCCACTAAACAAATCTACTGAGCTCTAAGCATACCCTCTGCTATAACCTGAAGACGCATGCCCATCAGGAGACCAGGGCCAGGTGTAGATAATAGCATTTATATTGGTAGTCATTTCAGGAAAAAAGAAAAAAAAAAGGATCACCACAGACTTCTGTTAATCCCACTACAAGCCAGATAAAGTAAAATTTGCTTCTGATTTGGTATTCCACCGGCTTTTACATCTGACATTTTTTATAGATGAACAGCATCCTTAACTTTAAAATGGAAAAAAAAAAAAAGATTTACTAGGTTTATAGTCACTGACCCCACTCTTCATTTATTTGCAATTCAGAGAGGGAGTCTTGTTGCTCATCTATAATAAAGTAAACAAAAAGAAGTAATTATGCCATCAACCTAAAAAATAACAATAGTGAAATGGTGGGTAAAGGGATTGGGAACAATATTAAATCCCTGATTGAAGACACAACAGTCAAAATTTGTAAAGTGCTGTTATCTTCGTGGTTTATAAAAAAGAAGAGGGTAGGAACTGTTTACAATTTAAACTTTCATTTTGCTTTGCTAGAAGGCACAAGGGATTTGTAACATTTTCACACTTCAGTGGAAATTAAGTCAAACACATCATACACCCCCAAGGTAGCCATAAAAGCATTCCCAGAACAGTAAGTGTACCTTGGTCGACAGCAGCTTTGTCAGATACATTTCTTTTACTTTGAACTTGTGTTTTCCTCGATGTCTTTTTCCTTGCACATCTTGGAATGCTTCCGAATCTGGTAAAATCTAACGGGAAGACAGTAGAAGCGTTACCCACGGAGACCATTCGTGCTACAGAAGGCATCCAATTCAGGGGCAAGCACAAGAAAGCCTGAACTCACCAAATGGCAGTGGTCTTCTGAGTATTCCACATCTGAATGCCAGAGAAAGGGAGAGAAAACAGTCTATTAAAAAAACAACCACGGGCTAATTGGCCTTCTCATAAAATGCCCCATTTGTGCTATGAACAGAAGAGGTTACTCGAGCTCTTCCACTTGAGCTCTTCATAGCTACATTTTTTTTTTTTTTTTCCACCCTGCTGCACGTTAAGATCTTACAACGCGAAGACAGAATGGGCCAGGGCCTGGAGTAGGAAGCAGGTTCCCAACAGGCTGAGTGGTCCCTTGCTGGGGGGTGGGATAGGAGAGGTTCAAGCCTTATTCATTAACAAATGCACCCGGGGCACCTACTGAGTGCCAGGGGCTCCCAGGCAAAAGGTAGTGATAAGACAGACCTAGCTCCCTTCAATGGTGTTTACATCCTGGCCGATGAGAAACTTTCTGTGACTAATTATAGTTATTTAACTGGGATTGTGATAAGGCTTATGAAGAAGTATATACTAAGAAAGTAACTAACGAGGGTCCAACCTACTCTGGGAGGTTTCTCAGAGCAGGGATGTTGGAGCTGAACTTAAAGACTGGAGTTAGCCAGGCAAATGGAGGAGACCCTAAGGTGGGAAGAACCGACGCCCTCCTGGGATCCAAAAGAAGGGCAATGAGTTGGAGCTCCCAGAGCAAGTGCAAGAGTGGCACAGAGTGAGGACATCCCTGAAAGAAATGTGGCAGTAAATGGGGGGAAAAGAGGGATTAAGGCACTAGGTTTTTTGTATTGAAGATGAGGGAGACTAGAACACCTTGAAACCCTAAGGGAAAAACTGCAGTAGGCAGGGAGCTATAGAAAGTTTAGGGGAGACAAGATTATCTGTGGTGTAAGAATGTGTGGAAGGTTGGAAAGAATGGGATGGAAGGCACAGGTGAGAGACTGGCCTTGGATGTGAGGAAGGAAAACCCTGGGATGCCAGGGGAGCCACAGAGGAAGAAATGGGCAGACACAGGTGGGGTGGGAGGTTTGGTGCTGGACGCTGAGAGAGTTGGGACTCCTGGTTTCTCCGTGAGGTGCAGGATCAAATCAGCTGCTGATAGAGCTGCGTGGGTCAGAGAGCTCTGAGGAGAGAAGGTAGAATTCTGGAGAACCCAGAGTGAATTACCTAGAGAAACAGTGGGTTTAGGCTGTATTGAGGGTCCCCTGTCATGTGGGCACCATGAATTTATAATTATGACTCCAATCATACTTTCCTCCAGTGGCTGCCTGGGTATAGTTCAGAAAAGGCCAGTAGTTGGGTTCATCTAGGGCTGGGGTTGTGACTGAGACAGTGGTGAAAGGGGACAGGGGCAGGAGGTTTGAAGGGTTAGCAGGGGAGTGATCAAAATGATGGCTCTCAGCTGAACTGGACAGGGAAGAAGCAGAGGCATTGACTGCCCTGAGGTCCCCTGAAGAAATCCAAATGCAAGATCCCCAAAGAGTAAGCTCTGCCAAAGGCCTGATCTTTGAAGCTTAAAATACAAAGCTCTTCCACTTTTTGTAACACAAGGACACCAATTCCCCTATGCCAGAATGACCATCACCCTCTGCAAGATGCCTTCTCTCACTATAGCCAGATGTAATGATGGACTGGGGGGCATCCCCCAAAGGGTGTCCTACAACCTACCAAATTATCCTTTCCGTTTAACTGGAGTCCCTGCATTCCCTGTTTGCACTGACTAGGTCTTGGGACCTACCAGGCTGCCCTTAGTATAGAATCCAGGAATTGGGAAGCCTCCCCTCCAGTTGTGTGTGTGAGAAGTCCTGCCGGTGAGGCCCAAAACCCTTCTAAGGGCTGAGGACTGATTGTCTTGGCTGGAGTATAATTTCTCTGGAGACCAACCTGAACCAGGATCTAGGGATTTTCTCAAGGCACTATCACAATGTTTTCTTGTCCTGAGGCTATCAGGGAGGTGGTAGAGAGTTTAGAGACTAGCTTATATACTTTCCCATAAAAGCTCCCCATTTGGTTTGTCTCGATCACTTTCTGGGAATTTTGCAGATGCTATCAAAGGAGATTTGGATTTCTAAGTGGATTATCTTGTTTGTTCAGCACTTGCAGGGCTGTGTGACTATCTACAAGCTTCCCTCTTAGTTTGCCAGAGGGGTCTCCTCTATTTGCCCCCATCCTACTGAGGAGTTGGCATAGAGCAAGGAAGGCTCAGATTCTGTCCTGAGTTTAGGGCTGTCAAGAGGCAGCAACTTCCTTAGTACTGGGCAGTCCCGGCCAACTGTTCTTTACTGTTTCCTGTCTGCCTCCTTGCAAGGCTCACATTTTGAGGAACAGAAACAGATCAAATGGCTTTTCTCCAATTTCAGAGAATTACACAGCAACAACTCAATCTCACCTTTGTGACAATACATCTGAGAGAGGCAAAAAGCGATACTTTAGAAAGGTGGGTGAGATCAAAAGGTTAACATTATATTGGTTACCTGAAGGAAAATTTGCTATCTTCTTAAAGACCTTTATAGTGGATCCATTTGATATCTGAAAGCAAAGATAAAAAATATATGAGTTTTCAAAATTTAATGTATTTCTCAACTTCATCCAGGAATTAGATAGCTGGATGGATCTTACATTCTCTCACTTATTAAATATTTATCAAGAAATTCTGTGTTCTGGGCACTGTGCTGGAGGCTGGGGCTGTAATGATGATCAAGACACTATCTCTACCCTCAAGGAGCTCACAGTCCTGTGGAGGACACGGACAAGGCAGTGAGGTGTAGTGAGGCTGGGAGGGGGAGGCCAGGGTCTTGGGGCCAATGGGAGGTGGGCCCGCACTGGAGGAGGGGAAGATGAGGCTGCGCTAGGATGTACCCCAGCCTCTCAGAGGTCAAGAGAGGCTTGGGCCACTAACATTTTGAGGTTCCTACTATATTAAGAAATGCTGAAACAGGTGTTCAAAAACTGTGTTATCTAGAGCAGGTGTCTAATCCTATGACAGAGCAATTTCACATCTAGATATATACCCAACAGAAAGAAGTATATATCCCGATAGGTAACTATTTGTGATTGCCCCATATTGGAAACAACCAAATATCATCGATGAATAAATAATTGGGAGTATGTCCATACCACAGAATATAGAACAATGGAAGTGAGCAAATTATTTCTACACACTACATGGGTAAACCTCATAATGATAATATTGAGCAAAAGAAGCCACACAAAGGAATGTATACTGTGTGAGTCCATTCACATAAAGCTAAAAAAAAACCTAAATGAACACAAAAACAGTCAAACTACGATGTTAGATATTTGCAGGAGAAAGAGGGGTTAGGGACCAGGAGGGGACTTCTAAAGTACCCATAACGTTCTACTTCTTGACCTGAGTGGTAGTTATAGGACGTGCTCACTTTGTGATCATTCATCCAGCGGTACACTTATGATTTCTTCTCTTTTCTGCAGCTATATCATATTTTTAAAAAGGAGCTTTTGAAATCATAAGAACTGCATATACTTTTAAATAAAAGCTTTAAAATTGAAGTATAACTTACAGGAAGGCACTTAACGTTCACTAATATGAAGTGTGCAGCTCAGTGAATGTTCATTTAAATACATACCTATATAAGCACTACTGACATCAAGATATAAAATATTTCAAGGTCCCAAGAAGTACCCCCATTATCCCCTCCCAGTCAGTAACCACTGTATCCTCAGCCAGGGGTAATCACTGGTCTGACTTCCATCTGTTCTTGAACTTCATTTATAAGCGGAATCATATGATACAGCTGACCCTTGAACAACATGGGGGCTAGGGGGTATTCCCCCCCCAACCCTGCACATTTGAAACTCTACATAGAACTTTTGATTCCCCTAAAACTTAACTGCTAATAGCCCGATAGGAAGCCTTACCAAGAACAGTCAACACATATTTTGTATGTTTGTGTATTATATACTGTATTCTTGCAATAAAGCTAGAGAAAAAATATTAAAATCATAAGGTACATTTATAGTACTATACAGTATTTATTGAAAAAAATCTGCATGTAAGTGGACCTGCGCAATTCAAACCCGCATTGTTCAAGGGTCAACTGTATAAATATATTCTTATGTCTGGCTTCTTAGGGTCAACATAAGGTCTGTGATGTTTATCCATATTGTTGCAGCTACCAGTTCTTTCTTTTAAAATTACTTTGTATTATTGCATTGTATGAATATACTACAAAAAAACTGCCATACAATAAAAAAATAGAAGTATTGATACATGCTACAATGGGAATCTCAAAAACAATATGCTAAGTGAAAGAAGCCAGTCACAAAAGACCACATATTGTATGATCCTATTTATATGAAATGCCCAGAACAGACAGATTTATACATACAGAAAGTAGATTACTAGTTGCCTAAAGCAGGGGTCGGAAGAATGAGGAGTGACTGCTAATGAATTCAAGTTTCTCTTTGGGGTGATGAAAATGTTCTAAAATTAGATTGTGGTGATGATTGCACAACTCGGTAAATGCACCAAAAATCATTGAATTGTACATTTTAAAAGGTGACCTTTATGGTATATAAATTATATCTCAATAGAGCTGCTAAAAAAAACTGCCATAGATTTTAAATTCACACATTTGACAAATAAATGCTTTTACCACACTGACACACTATTGCAATACCCATGCATACCCTCTTTTGTCAATAAAGTCAGGAGTTCTCACCTGAGGCCTTTTGGGACTGTGGAACCCAGCGCCAAATGGCCCTCCAGTGCAGCCCTCCCCTACAACCAACCAGGAGAAGAAGCACTCTTCAGGCCAAGGGGACTAGATGCTAAGATGCAGAGGGCAGCCCTCACTGTTCTGAGGGGCTAAGTCCACAAAAATTTCAGACAAAGGGGCCTTGAGGAAGAGGCAGGTCAGGGATACACAAATCCTTGCCTTCATTCTGGGATTGTGGAGGGAGGATTAACGCCTTCGCTTGAGAACACTGTCAGCTCAGTGCTTTTCCCCTCCATTCTCAAGTTCTAATACTACTTTGGACCCAGCCTTCCCCAGTTGGGAAAAAAGTAGAAACCTAGAAGTACTCCTCTGGCCTGCTGCACATTTCGTTATCAGAATGTACAAACCTGCCTAGCAAGCACCAAAGGATTAAAGCCGAATCTCCTTCAGGTTGCACGCACAGAGGAAGGAACAGAGAGCAGAGCCGACCCTGCAGAGATGCCCCGAGCGAAGCAGGCCAGCCAGCTGTGTCTAGCCACCTGCTACCTTGAGGCCAGAGGCCCCCAACCGCTGGGGTTCATGACCACTTGGAGGGAGCAAGAGTACTGGGCGGGGACTGGCTGGGCCGTCAGGCCTCTGACAAGTGTCTCCGGCGTGGATTCTGAACTCTTACTGAATTCTGCTCTGCTGTTATTGCCAAACATCCTCTCCTTTCCCCTTGAGCCATTCGTTGTTTTCTGGTTGATTTTTCCATTCTCCTCCATATTTGATGCAAGTAAACACTCGGCACAGGCACCCCCTTAGCAACACTCAGACACCAAGTTTATGAGAATGTTTGAACAGCATTACAAAATTCCTCCCCCATGAAGAGCTGGATATGCTCGGTTTCTAAGCCAATAAATATCTTTTTATAAAAGGAAGCTGGTGATTCATTCTGGGTAATTGTCAAAGAATGAATCCCAAATGGCTCCTGTTGAGTGTTGAGCCAATACTCCACTACTGTCAGATGCTTTGTTTTGCTAAACGTGCGCACCCTTACTCTATAATCACAACCACCACGGATGGGCCTTCCGATAAGGAGCGCTGCCAAAAGTTCAAATGTCTTTTCAAGAGCTGGCAACGACTCACTGCTGGCACCGAGCTCAGGCACTGGGAGAGCGCAGACGCAGCTTGCACCAAGGAAATTCTACTCTGAAATTATCTCCCAAGAGCAAGTGCAAAAGCATTTTATTAGGGATGAGTTGTGTGTGTGTCTGAGCCTGTGTGTGAAGTGTATTTCTAACTTTCACAGCTGCTCTCGGGCTGGAACATTCCCCCCCACCACGTGACACTAACACCATTGTAAGACAGAAACTAGTTTATTTACAGATGTTGGGGAACAGGGTGGGGGGAAGGTTTCCATTTTCTATTTTGCATAAGTCAGCTGCTGCCGAGTTAAGGACAGAACTGCCTTTTTGAAAAGTGCCACAGGATCTAAAGTGTTAAAAATATGATGCTGTTTGTTCCATCTGAGGAGCTCCAAATGCTTTCCTAAGAGTGACTCATTAATCCTCCTGTACTCCTGTGAGGCAGGAAGCATCCTCTGGGCCCCTACTTTAGGAATGAAAACCAAATTAAATCAAAGAAAGATTAATGTCACTAGATGGATCTGCGGCAGGAATGTTTCTCCAGCCCAGAGCAGAACTGGTAACACAGGGCAATTTCAAATTAAATTCCTTCCAGTCTCACAGTGCTCCAGGATTCAATGAGACAAGAAGGCTATATACCCCTTCAATGATGACTGGCCCATGCTGGAACAGGGTGGAGAAAACGGTAGAGTCCTCCATTATCAGCATTAGGAACTGTGACCACACAGGGTGAAAAGGACTCATGTCAACAATTTAAAATCACTCCTGAAATAAACAGAAGGTACACATCCTCCAAACCATGTGCAAGTGAAGGTGGGATTTCTTTGTGGTAAAATACTACCTCTGTGGCATAGGTTGAAGAAAATTCCATAAAAATAGATTTTCTACATATATAAGATTGAACTTATATTTAACCTTACAAAACTGCCATTTTTGTAGATAAAAATGGTCTAATATTGGTAATTTCATATTGTTTAGCCTAAGAGAAAAGCTGGAATTTTAGCCTAAGAATTCTATGGAAAATTATGAAATACTGTGATACCTTTTTTCTCAAAAAAATGGAAAACACAGTAATCAATACAAATCACCATGTGGAAACCCTTACCAGTATCTCTCATTCCTAAAACGTATTATATGAAAACAGAAATTTAGGGCGACTGGGTGGATCAGTCATTAAGCGTCTGCCTTCGGCTCAGGTCATGATCCCAGGGTCCTGGGATAGAGCCCCACATTGGGCTCCCTGCTCAGCGGGGAGCCTGCTTCTCCCTCTGCCTGTCGCTCTCCCTGCTTGTGCTCTGACAAATAAATAAAATCTTAAAAAAAAAAAAAAAAGAACTTTATTCAACTAGTGTTGTCCCTGCGACTACTCATCAATTCTGCTCTCCGCTCCTACCCTCTTAGCTCTTCTCACTGACACCCCAAAGCTGGAGGCAAATGAAAAGGAATCTTATTTCTCCGGGCCAGAGGGATACCGTTGCTCAGTCCATTAGCAAAGGAGGCTCAGGGCTCATCAGAGCGTTTGGAAGGGACCCATCAGAACATTCTCAACACACAAATCACACGGGCGGTTTTTGACACTCAGGACATAACCCTAAAGGATTATTGAAACTAGTTAAAATGCCAGTCAGGCTCCTGCTGCTTCTTTGGGTACTTGGAATTAAGCCTGGGCCAGTAGCAGACTCCCTCTGAGGACTATTAGAGAGAACCCTAACCTTGTCCCCTGGTACCAAGTCTGGCCTCTAGGAGTAATGCCTGAAATTGGGAACCTAAGCGCTCCACTGCTTTTCCTGGGCTCTTGGATGCTGAAAGAGGCCTCGTATCTGACAAGGGCAACCACTGTCGTGTTCAAGGAATACTGGCCGTCAATGATGTTAAAGCAGAATTGGAAGGAAGGAAGCATTTTGATAAACTCACAGACATGAGGTTCATCAGAAGATTTTAAGAGACGTTACCTTTTCAAATTTGACATCAGCGAATATTAACTACCAGGATTTCTCACGACGTGGTCCAGTTCCTTAGCCAAGGCTGCCTTTGAGGCCGGGGCCATGGGCTCCAGGCCGGGCTCCAAGCAACGAGAGGGGCCACTATCTCTAGCACGATTCCTTTTGCATCTGCTTCTAGCCTTGGAGCCTCAGTGAGAAGAGCCACGTGAACTTGGTCAGGTTTCTCAGCCTCCCTGCGCCCTAGAATGGGAATAATGATAGGCTCGACCTTGCCAGGCTATAGTGAGGACTAAAGCAGTGGCTGTTTGTAAAAGCCCCTGGAACAGTGTGCCCAGTGGACGAGAAGTACTCCCTGCATGTTAAATAAATCACCCACGCTGTGAGAGACCTTTAGAGATAGTCAAATCTCTTCACTTTAGTGTCACGGATGACACACCTGATTGGAAGGACCCCTGACTTCACCAAGCAGACACTTTGGAACGTTCTTATGAGCTTTAAATGTCATCTGAATGACAGCTTTGGCATTAGCGGGGACCAACAGTGGTATTAGCACAGGCCTGTTACGAGAATATTCTTCAACACCACAGTGGTTAGCCGTCTTTTCTGCCCCTCGGACTCTCGCAGCTCAGAATGAGAGGAGCAATCTGCAGAGGACATTTCCTGCCGGACACAACACCTGTTCCGCCCACTCGATGCCACCCTCTAGCAAGGTGTGAGGGCGGTAACACCATCCAGCGAAGGGTCACACGGGGGCGCGGGGGAGGGGAAGAGAGCCTGGACCCAGAGACCCCCCCGCCAAAACACACACACACAACTGATCTCATCAGCTCCAGAACACACTGCAGTTTCCTTCATAGTAAATGACACACAGTGACGGCCAGTTAAGGAAGCGTTTGGGGAGGATGTAATTATAAGGGAGAAAGATTCCTCTGGCCTAATGTGTTTGTAGAGACGCTCATTTTACCCCTTGTTTGCATGGGACAGAAGGATACTGTAGCAGAAATTTGCCCTCCTCTGCACTCAACTGATGGAAAAGGAAGGCAAGAAGAGCACCTTTGTAGGGTTGTTGTGAATGTGAACTGCGCTTATGCACGCGAACGGCGCTGTGGTCACGGGAGAAAGCAGTCTTGCCCATGCCCAGGTTTGGCGAGGATGCCATCCCATAGAGGACAGAGCATGGCCAGCAACTGGGGGCTCTGGAGGTTGCATCTGGCCCATGAGATTCTATATTTTTGCTGTGCCTTCAGATCCCCTCAAGAAACCTGTTCTTCAAATATTTGGACAGTAAATCATTCAGAGGAGACCAGCTACACTCTATTTGCCCTAAGGACAGAACAGGCAAGAAGAAACAGGCTCCCACTCCAGCAATAGGACTTTGTTTAGACAGTAGGAGGAACTGGCCGTCACTAAAGATTAACTTTAAAACCTAACTAATTTGGGCTAATTGGAGGGAGATGAGTCTGAATCACTTAAAATTCTGAGTTAGACCCTATTTTTAAATGAAATATAGTTTTTTGCTTTCAAGCACTTACAGTGACTCAAACTAGCGTGCTTTAGTAAATGAATAAGAGTGGTAATTAGCATCTTGTCTCTTTGGAGAGAAATGCAAGCTCCAGGAGAAAATTTTTTAACGAAAGGGCAAAAGTAAGCTTCAGCCTACCCCTGTCAAATTACTCCAGATTTTAAATCTGTGGGGGCTCTACTAAACTGAGTATAGATTTAGGTGGCTGAGGGTGCTTGTGGATACTTTTTTCTGAGCAGTCTTTGAAAAACAGGGTATTTGAGATGGTCCAGGCATAGAGAGCACAGGGCCGGTGACCTCCCCAGTTTCCTTCAAGCTCTCTGAGTTTGCCTCACGGCTTAGCTTTTTAAACCTAAGGAGAATCCTTTAAGCCCTTGTGTCCTAGTCTTGTCATTTATTACCACCATGTGGCAATGCTAGGGTAGGAAGCCAATAAATCATTTGGACGGGAAGTGACTCCAGGCCGGATTAATTTCATTATCATCCTTAAGCAGATAGGTGTCTAGCACGGCCGATGTCTCCGGTGAGGACTGATGTTCTCTCTGTCCTGACAGCCTTCCCCTGGCCTTGCAGACAGATACGGTGGTCCTTCCCTTTCCCTGCTGGAGGGGCCTGTCCTGCCCTTTCCTGTGAAGGGCAGTGCATGGACACACCCCCTTCCTTTGTGGCCCACCTCGTGCCCCACAGTTGCTGGGGGACTCCAAGAAGCCTGACCAGGGTGGCCCCGCCATCCCCGCACAGCCGAGCAAGGCAAGCGCGTCAGTCAAGAGCACCCGTGGCGGTGTTCCTTCCAGACTTGCTGAGACAAACTCGCTCCCCAGACGCAGGGAGGGAAGGAGATGGCTGCCAGGTGGCAACCCTGAACTTCAGACTGAAGCCACGCTAAGGCCCCCTCTAAGGACTTACACGTGCAGGGCAGCATCCCTGACCCTAACCCCTCCTCCTCTCCATTAAATTCCCTCTGGGGCAGTGCGTCTCGGAGTGTGACGCACAAACAGGAAAGTCCCCCGGGGAGTTTTACAAACTCCAACAGCTCTTGGCAAGATGACTCCGAGGTTGGAAAGTCTGCGCTGCAGGAGGGTGAGTACAGAGGCAAGTCGTTACTCCGTAGCTTTCTCTGCCAGCTGCTCTCCAGCAAGGGCTCCAGGGACAGCACCTAGCCAGGTGTCACCCAAAGCAGCTATGCCCAAACTGGCTTGGAGAACCACTCAGCCAAAGAGCCCAAGGAAGAGGCATCCTCTGTCCTCTCTTCCTCAAGAATAGTCTGCTTTGAGGGGAGAGCCTGCAGGGTCCGAAGGCCTTCTTGTGCAAACACATTTTCCTGGGACTTCACAGGCATGAAAGACAGGCGGCGCTGACTTTCTAGGTGACCTGGGAAGCTGCTCCTGCTGCTCGGCTACCTGGAAGGGCACCTGCGTCTGTGCATCTGCCCCACCATCCCCGAGCGCCATCTTGACCCTCCTTCACCCAGAAACTCTCCCATCGGCGTGGCTTGCGGCGCCCAACTCCTGCCCATCCCTGAGTCCCTCTGCTTGTCTCCATCTCAAGAGCCACGACGTCATTTCTGGCCAACATCATTCCTCACCTGAAATTCTTCTAGTGACAGCTTCCAAGGGCCTCCCTGTTACCTCATACCTCTTCTATGCATGTTCCATACACACCACAGGCATTTCTGAGACACAAATCCCTCAAGATCCTCCAGTGGTTTCTTGGGCCTATTTTGGGGACCAAAGTCAAACTCCTGACGAAGCTGACAGGGCTGCACAATGTGTGCCTCCCCTTCTCGCCTCCCTCCCTGCTTCTCTGCCGTCCTCCCTGACAGGCTGTGGGGGATACTGGTTAGGCCACAGACCCTGGGGCCCAACTGTCTGGGTCCAGATCTTGGCTCTGCCACTGGCTAGCTGCTAGTAAACCTCCCTGCGCCTCAGCATACCCATCTATAAAGAGGGCTAATAACAGCGCCTACCTCATAGGTCTGCTGTATAAAGGATGGAATGAGCCCAAAGAAGGCACAGTGCCGAGGACAGAGTCTGGCAGAGTGAGGCCTTCATCACATCGGCTGTTGTTGGATTGTTGGCTCTCACGGCCACCCCCGCGCCTCTTGAGCTTTAGCCAGCTGACAAGTCTTTCTGTGGAAGAACATGTGGGGTATGCTGGCGCCCCATCCCGGCCCGGTCAAGTTCTCACTCTTCAGGTCTCTGCTTAGTCACAGCTTCCTCCAGGAAGCTTTCTCAGCGGCTCTGAGCCACGGCACTGTTACACCGTAGGTGTTGCCTCCTTCCTCGTCTCCCCTCCCCTCCCCCCCCCACCTTCCTGAGGCGGTAGGCTCCCTGAAGTCAGGGGCTTGGTCTCTGTTCCCTTGCATGCAACCCCAGCACTTGGCACAGAGCAGATATTCAACAAAGATTTGGGTAATGTTGCTGAATGACTCCCACGATCCCAGCGTGTTCAGGAACCTTCCCTGCCTCCTTTCTCTTGTTCTGTGCAGGCTTCTCCGGCTCACAGGTCTCTGATACGTGCGCCCCATACCCACCTCGTCACTCAGCCAGCATGTGGGTCAGGGGCCCCAGGAGGTAGGACTGAATACTGTAAACAAACAGGAAATGTAGAACTTCTTCAGAAAAAAAAAAAAAGGACCCTACACAAAGGTTACATGGTTCTGCGAACACCGTGGAGAGCCGTGAGGTAACGTTTCCCACCCAAACCGCAGGAGGGAGAGTGACCAGTCACATGAAAATCGAAGGCCTCACAGAGGAGGGAGGACCCAGGGGGACCGCACACCACGACAGACAGGGATTCCTGGGCTCTTCCAAATGAGCACCTGAGAAAGCAATCTGCAAACTATGCCAGAAAACGGTGAGAGTTGTGTAATTTTTTTAAAAGAATTTTCCTGGTTTACCTGGAGATGATCTAATTGAGTCAGGATGGGGCTCGGGGCTCGGGGAAGATGTCGAGGGCTCAGCCCCGCTCTTACCTCGTAGTGGCCGATGGTATTTAGCTTAGTTATTCCATCTTCGAGAATCACAGATGAACTGTCAATATCCAGCAGCTCTTTTTGTCGTGTACCCACTTGCAGCTCTGGGAAGGAAAAAAAAAAAAGAGAGAGAGTGTATTTTGTTCTCCTCTGACATTATAGTGAGAAAGTTTAAATGCTACTCTGTAATAACAGTAGCAATTATTATTTAGGGATACAGCTTAAATAAAGTGGTTAATATTTGTTTGAAGATTTGGAGATATCTCAGCCAGACAGGTTGCCTGAGTTTTGTTTTTGTTTTGTGTTTAGGGCTTTGACTTTTAAGACTATGTTTCCCTGAAGCTTATACTCTGAGGCTAAGCCTGGAAGTAAAGCCAATGAGAACAAAATAATGTATCCTTAGAGGGACGAAGCTCTGCAGAAAATTCAAACAACAAATTTGTATGTTCCCAAGCAGGTGCGCTGTGAACAGTCTCCAGTAGGTCCCTGTGGGGGTGCACTGGTGGGCTAATATCCCAAACCACATGCCTCAAGCTCTTTTATGGAGGTTGCCAACTCGTGCCCTAGGGCCAGAATGTGGCCCACCGATGTGTATTTTTTTTTTTTTTGTGAACCTTCACAGTGTTTTGCTTATTACTAATGTCAATTCAGCACCAACAGTCAAAGATCAGGAGATGGCTCATAAAAATTCAGACTGAGTTCTCTTTTATTTTTATTTTTTTTTAAGATTTTATTTATTTATTTGAGAGAGAATGAGAGATAGAGAGCACGAGAGGGAAGAGGGTCAGAGGGAGAAGCAGACTCCCTGCTGAGCAGGGAGCCCAATGCGGGACTCGATCCCGGGACTCCAGGATCATGACCTGAGCCGAAGGCAGTCGCTCAACCAACTGAGCCACCCAGGCGCCCCTGAGTTCTCTTTTAAAAAACAGGATCATCCGATATCACTGACCCCAGCGGCCTGCATGCAACCACTGGCTGAAGCTACATGGCACTACCCCCTTAGATGAGCTGTCCTCCCCCAGTGAAGTTGGGCCCCACCATTTCCTGGTGTCGTAGGTGGGCCAGCACCCCTTATTTTTGACAGTCGCTGCCCCTCTGGGCCTCTGAGTTCATGAGCCTCTGCTAGAGGAGGTCTCCCACAGTGACTCTGGGATAGGATTTCAATACAACCTAAGGCTGGCTTCGAGGGTTTGCCTTGGTTTTCTGAGGCCGGCCTTGGAGGTCGTTTGCAAGAAGATCACGGCAGCAGAAGCCTGACAGGCTGGGATGCTATGCTCCCATTTCCCATCAGATTACAACGTGAGGCCTCTAGGAGACTTGTTCTGCTGCCTGCCTTCCCCTATCAGGAGGAACTGATGGGCTCAAGCCCAGGAATGGCAAGAGGATATTACTGACTCCACATGGCGGGGCTGAGGCCCCTGGGCTGTGGGCCCCCTGTGCCCAGCTCCTGGCAGCCAGAGCCACACACTGGCGGGAGGTAGGCTTGCAGCAAGGAAGGCGATGGTTCTGGGTCAGGTGACGATGGCCTCCCGTCTGGAGCTGCCTCTGTGATCCCGCCTCTAACCAAGTCACCTACCTCGGCCTTCAAGCTTCCAACAGTCCACCCAACAGAAGGAAACAGAAGAGAGGCCGAGGAGAGGGGCCTTAGCGGCCCCTTCTTTGAAGCTGAGTCACATAGTTGCTGCACATCTGCCTGGCTTCCCGCACCTGCCAGGCCCTGCCCCCAGGCTTCTCTAAATGGCCGTTTAGCGGGAGCTTTGGCCTTGGAGGGCCAGGTGGGATGATTTTAATTGCCTGCTTAGTCGGAGCTGCAAGTCTACACTGAGGGGAGATGAACCTTGTTACGCTGTCACTGCTGTGATTTTACTCTTCTTTCCTGTCCCATTATCTGCTATAAAATCCCACGACAGTCTCCGGGGAGGGCTGCAGGGAGCTCAACTTTAAAACAGTGATGAACATTGGAGTGGAGTGGAGCTCTGTTAGCTCGCTCATGCATATGCTCTCCTTTGCAGATACCAACAGAGCCCGAGAACGAATTCATAGCAGATGCTGCTTCGGGGTGGGGGGGAAGGATGGAGACCATACTTAATGCAGGATGCGATCAGCTGCGAGGAAGATGACCTTTCTAGTGTGCTGGAGTTAACACCCAGAGTCTGAGCCACCCACTAATGACACACTCGGTATCACAACAAACAAATCAAATGCCAATGCGAAATGCAACACACAGAGAGGGCACGGGGTTTATGCCTTTTTGTACTTCTTGATGCAAGGTGAATCCATTGTCTCAGGGTGAGCAATCTCATGAATCTGATTTACAAACATAATATTTTTTTAAAAAAACCAGTGTCTTTGAAGGATAATGCTTCCTAGAAAGAATCATGCCGCTTGTGGGAGAGCCGTGCAGGCTCTGGGCCCCCAGACGTTCCCCTGGGAGCTTCAACAAGCAGAGACTCACATGCCGTGGGCAGGGAGAAAGGAAGAGACGGTGGGAGAGGCGTTCACCGGGGATTGGGACGAAAGAGCTCCCTCATTGCCTTACCAAGACCAATTTCATTCAGCTGAAGTCCATAAGGAGAGCCATTTTTGCTTAGGAAAGCCTGGAAAATCTTTTCTTTGGCTTGGCCTATGGTGTCACAATCAAGAACATTGACTGAAATGTTCCGACAGACATCTGCACTCTCATTTTCCGGGATCTTTTCAAAGATGACGTTTAATGCCTGCAAGAATACAAACAGGTTTCCAAGTCTATTAGATAATTGCAATCTGAGAGGCATTCATAAAAGACACAAACCTTGGCGAGTCCTACTAATACATCTGACAGCACATTAGCAAACACTGTGTTGCATTATACTACTTTAATCTTTTCTCCATAATCCATTCTTTTCAGGGATAATGGAAAAGAAAACAGAAAAGTGAAAACTCTCATTACAGAGCAAGCACTGAATAAATATATCTGAGAGTAAAACATATATACACATAAATATTCTAGAAGTGGTGACTTCTAATTTCATCCTCAAAAAAAAAATTTTTTTTTGGAAAAGCTTCCACAGCAGATGAAGGCAGGCTGGTGATTATCTGTTTTATTAACAGGACCACAGAGTCCCAGAAGTGAAGTTCCAGGTGACAAGAAAGGTCAGGAGGTCACCGTATTGATCCTGCTGAAGGAGGTCACTTTTTAATGTGCAGCATTAATGACGAGAACATTTATCTCTCCCCTTCACTTCGATATCCTCAGACAGCTTCCCAAGCCCTCATTAAAACCCCGAGGTCCCCACCCTGTACTATTATTCTTGCATGAATTACTTTACATTTCAGCGCTGTTATTTAATGTTTCATCAGTTAACACTCTCCCAGTGCAGCAAACCCTCAGAATCGATGGATGGGGGAAGGAAGACCTTTGTGAATGTGTGAAAAGACAGAACGAGGGAGTATAGGGAGTATTTCAAAACAAATTGAAAAGCAATTTCAGGTTTACTTTGAGAACCTGTGAGTGCGCACGCGCCCTAACACAACAAAGTTTACCTACTACAGCTCCTCGGGGGAACCGATTCAGGGAAAGGCTAAGATCTGTAATTGGCATAGCACACAGTTTGGATTCGAAGGCACCTTGGTGATCGCAGAATCAAGGGTCTGGTGTGAAATGCACAGTGAACCTGGCTACCATGAGGGGATGTAAAATGATTACTAGAAATGTTTTTAAAAAAATGGAAACACAGTTAAGGGGAGATTGGGGATCCTTAGGGTTCACTGAACTTTTAAATGGGTATAGTAACAGTACGTGCCTTGTAGTGTTGTTACAGAGATTAAATGAGATGATGCACATCATAGGCTTGGCACAGGGCCGGGCTGCTGGGAAGGGCTCGATGTTGATGATGAGGATGATGATGATCAAAATGGTGAGTGATGGTTTCCTGTAACTTATCAGAATCCTTACTGTGGCTAGTGTTGTGTTCCTTCCTTAGGAGACTGCGAGAGCCTGCTGAAGCTGAGCAGCCAGGGCTCAGACTCCACGCCCTGTACCCAGCGGGGTGAGCAGCCGTTCTAGGGGCCGACCCCTCAGTTTCCTCTGCCTCACAGTGGGAGTCACAATGGCAACTGCCCCTGGGCTCCAGTGCTGATGAGCTGAACTAACCTCGGGGCGCAGAGCACAGGGTCGGGCTGGCGAGCCCTCAGGAGATATGACAGAGGGACTAGGGATGTGGAGGAGGGGACTGCAAACTCTGGGAGGGCTTCAGAGGCATGTCTTCTTGTCATTGCCTTTACACCTTGCTCCCGCACTCCTGCTTACAATTACATGCAGTAAACTTTGGTCCAGTCCCAACTAAATGATTAACACTCTGAGGCCGTGGAGTCAACTCTGGGGTTAAGCGGGGATCTCCGCCCTGCAGTTCTCTTCTTCCCGAGAGGGTCTCTCCCTCGCCTGCAGTCTGGGCACACTGCGGATCGGGGCCAGTCACAGCCAGGAAGGGAGGCCGAGCACCCCTCTGCGCACAAACCTGGACACACAGGATGGGACAGAAGGCCAGGAGTGTTGGCCGGAGGGTAAGAGCTGGGCGGACCGTCTAGAAGGAACCAGAGTCCTCTCCCTCCGCCTTCCTGGTTCAGCATGTTTATTGACACCCTGCCAACTTCACTGCCAGGCACACCTATTTTAACCTTCCCAACATCCTGCCTAGGGGGCTGTGTTCTTATCCCCATTTTTTTTTTTTTTTAAGTAGGCTCCAAGCCCAACGCGGGGCTTGAACTCGCGACCCTGAGATCAAGACTTGAACTGAGATCAAGAGTCAGACGCTTAACTAACTGAGCCACCAGGCACCCCCTACTTTATTAAGTAGTATTATCCTCATTTTTGAGTGAGGAAATGGAGGCACAGAGGGGCCAAATAACCTGCACCAGGGAGGCCAGTGGGCACCGCGAACCACTCAGTGACAGGGGTTCCCCGCCCCAACTCCTGCTCCCACCCACAGCCCAGGAATCCTGGGCCTCTAGGAGCCCTGTTTTAGGTCAGGCTGGAAGCAAAGTCCTGAGCGAGACTCCCGGCACAAACGGGGGTTCTGGAGGTGTAAACGCGGGTCCTGCCCTCACAGTCTGTGTAGACCTGCCCGTGTCTTCCCACATCTGTCTGCCCACTGGTGCCGCACAGGGGGAATGGGGGTGGTTAATGCTATTTCACAGGGCTTCCAAAGATAAAGACAACTGGAAAGCACCTTTTAATCGGAGCTCCAGCGATCCCAGCTTAATAGTTTGATAGGTATTTGTGAAATAACACTCTGTGACTACCTATAGGGCACCATTGTCTATAACAAAAACACCTCTTTATAGGCAATAAATGTTCTACTTAAAAACATAACCAAAAGGAGAAAAAAAAACCCTAACTGGATGTAAAATAATGTAAATCTGCCACTGCCACCACAGCTAGATGCGTGGAAAAAGTAAAATGGTATTTTATAGAGGCCACAGGGAATTCTGAGAGTCAATCCGGACACAAATTGATTTGGTATGCTGCTAATGCTTAGCGCTCCAACAGCAATTTCCTAAAGTGTAAGTGGGGTCAGGGGCTCCCAGAGTGGGCCCTACCTCTTCACCCCACCCCAGGCTCAGAGAGCACACACTGGGCTTTGTCCCCCATTGGGGAAGATCCCCCACGGAAGCGCCATCTCTCCCCTTACAAACCCATTGAGCCAGAATCTTCCCTGTGCCCTACTCAGTGTTAGGGGCTGGGGTATAGGATAGACCTTAAGACATAGTCATTGTTTTTGGATAATTCACAATACGTTTGACACACTAAAGCATCATCTTTGAAACAGTATTTAGCCACCAGGTGCAACAGCATCCCCCTCAGTCAGTGTTGACAGAAAATTCAAGAAGGAAGCACAGGAGGGCTGAGAGGTCTGAGCACAGGCATCAGACCATCTGGGTCATCCCCTTCTGGTACTTAGCTGTGAGAGTGTGGGTAAGTCATCTCATTTCTCTGAGCCTTAACACTTCCTTTCCTTCCCCTTCCCCTCCCCCCTCCCCTCCCCTCCCTTCCCTTCCTTTCCTTTTTCTTAGTAAACTCTACTACACCCAATGTGGGGCTCAAATTCACGACCCTAAGATTGAGTCACATGCTCTACCGACTGAGCCAGCCAGGCACTCCTACACTCTGTTTCCATTTAAAAGGAGTGACAAGGTTACTAAATAATGACATAATAGCAGCAAATTAAGGAGTGCTTCCTGTGTGCCAAGCACTATTGTAAAGTATGTCTGTGTATTTGTATGTAAGAATCTCAGAACCCTTATCTCATAGATTCTATTATTCCCATTTTACAGATGACAAACTGAGGCACAGAGAAGTTGCAGAAATTGCACAAGATCACCCAGCAAGAAAATGGTAGAAGTGGCACTCTAGCTCCATGTTCTTAAACCTTTGGTGATCCTGCCTTTTAAAATATAAAAATGTTTTGTAAACTAAGCACAGTCCAAATCTATGGGATGGCAATTAGTCTTCAATACCCACAAAAGGCTAAAGTGCTCAAAAATCTATACTGGTCTTTTCTCCAGAAATTTGTCCCTGAATAACTCTGCCTTTCCCTATTTCTTTGGCATAAATGTATCAACAAAGCTGGGACAACAGATACGGTTAGTGGTATATGGCCATTTAACCCAGTTCTGGCCAATGAGATAGAAAGGGAAAGGGTTTCTACTCTAACAGAAGGGAAGTGTAGTGCTTGGAGCTGTGGCAGCTATTTTGTGACTAGGTGGGAGGCTGAAGAAAAGCACAAAGATGGTGACCCAGATGAGCAGATGGACCAGCCTTGGGCGGCTCACCTCCCAACTTTCTGCTCTAGAATGCAATTCCATGTTCTTACTATTTCAAGCACCATTATTCTGGTTTTTCTCTTACTTACAGCTGAATGTACCCAACCTGACAGAGCTCACTTTGTTGATGCTAAGGTAGCTAAATTCGCTCAGTGATACCCATCTACTTTGCACCTATTGTGAACAGGGCATTGCAGAATATACAAAGTAGAAAGCTAGCCCAGATTCTGACTGGGAAGTATTTGAAGACTGATAGAACAACTGTGGGATGTATACAAAGAATTCTAATACCAGATAGAAAATAGTAGGTTAGGTAGACTGCTTTAGGGGTTCAGAGAGTGATTACTTCTAGCTTAGAGGAGGTTTTTCAAAGGGAGAGAAATCAGAGACTGCATGGAGGAAGGGACATTTGAATTGGGTCTGGAAAGGAGCTATATGAGCAGCAATACATGAGGAGGCCTCTGGACCATGACATACTTGGCTTCAACTCTAACTGGTGAATAATAAGCTTAATCTTTTATTCAGGCTACTAGGTCATGAAGTCTAGATAAAAAAGATCCCACTTCCGTTGGGTAGAATGGAGGGTGGAGGACTTGAAGAACTGTGCTTGCCCTTCCAAAAATCACCATCTGCCGTCTGAGGGTTTCCATTACTATTTATGGAAACAAAAACTGAAGAACACTGTTTTAGGTTTCTAATAATCATAGTCAGCTCTCATATACAGCATGTTGAACACTCACCATTTACTAGGAGTTGTCTTACATGCTCTTCAAATTCATTTAATCTCGCTCTGTGCATTTAATAACTGCTCAGTGAAGTGGACACTATTATTAGCCTCACTTAACAGACGAAGAAACTGAGACAGAAGGAGGTTCAGAGACGTGTCTGAGATCACAGAACTGCTGAGGGTCATCAA